CAGCTCTCTCTCTCTCTCTCCCTCTCTCTCTCTCTCTCTCTCTCTCTCTCTCTGTGTGTGTGAGTGTAAAGGCAACGTAGCTCTGCATGCAATCACATACCTTTTCCAGCTGTTTCAGAGAGGATTTCAACTCTGCTCTTGCCTGCCATCATGAAAAGAAAAAAAATGTAAAAGGAAAAAGACAAGAGCTGAAGGCTGACCTAGTTGCTGACAGAGTCACCATGTGGATGACTTTGCTTAACTGTTTAAAAAAGCCTCTAAACAAATGCCCTCTATAGGAGGCAGGAGGACGACGTGCCTCATTACGTCAGGAATTTTTCAGCTTTTAACCCTTGCTTAGCTCTGCTCGAGTAATCATAAAGGCAGACTAGATGAGGCACATCGTTTTCCCGCCTCCTCCTGTAGTTTTTTAGAGTCTTTTTTAAACAGTTAAGCACTAAGCAGAATCATCCACGGTGACTCCGGCAGCAACTAGCTCAGCCTTTTTCCTTTTACATTTTTTTTTTGTTTTCATGATGACAGTGGTGAGGCCCTGCCTCCCCTGACTGCACATCCCTGGATATTAGCTAAACTTGCAAATGTGGCTTTGGGAGACTTGTCCAAGTTGCTCACTCAGAAGTTCGTATCTACAGTAGGAATTCTGCTTGCTTCCATTGCAGTCTGCTATTCTATCTGTATAATAGATTTGTATGTTTGTTTTTTTCCAGGCAAATGTTTCAAATGAGATTCCTCTTCCCAGTACTGTCTGAAAGAAACTCTCTAAAGCCTGTAATACCTCCTCACATTTGGAATAGGAGATATATCATAACAACAAATGTTTAAGCTATTTTGACTTAGATAACATCACCTCTTCAAGAAGAGCCAGATTGAACATTTTGGGGGTATAAAGTGAGTTTTAAGCCCCAAACCATCCAGATAATTGTCTGCAAATTACAGTGACAATCACAAGTCCATAGCTTTATTCCCTAACAAGGACAACTGCCTGAATTTAATTCATTCAGCTGTTTAGTGGAAGTTGATACCATTGATGATGGGTCTGATATATTGGACATTGTTGTGTCTGAGTCTAATGATTTCAGTGAAAATGACTAAGAAGAGGCTAAAAATATGAATGCTCAAGGGAGAACAATCATAGCTTTTGTTGAGTGCCAGCCATTCTGGTAAAGAACATGGTTGACAGAAGGTTAATGTCAGCAGTTATTGATCAGAATAAGGGTACTGCTGAAACTTATTCACAAAGGTGCTGAACAATTATTAATTAGAGAACATGGCACTTTTTAAATGTTGTGTTATTTATTCAAATATCGACCTAGACATATTGGAGGGGAGAATATTGTTGTTGTTGTTGTTGCTACTATTAGTGAATCAAGAAACTGAAAAGATGATGGTAAATGAAAATGACAAAGCTACTTTGGGGATTATTACTATGTATTTATCATAGTTATATCCAAAGGTTAGTAATTTCAGATCAGTTTATATATTCTCAATTTGACAGGACATACTCCTCTGCCAGCTCTTATTGTCATATATCTCATTGTTAGTGCACAACAAAAGACCGGCAATCTGAATAATCTAAATAGTTCTTTCTGTTCTTGTCCCCGAGCTCATCATCTATTCTGCATTACTTCTCTGGATTCAAAGGAGATCAGAATCCCAACACCTTTTCTCTTCTTTTCTAAACAGATTGATCCACCCAGTGAGTGAGATGGTGCAGGCCTTGAAATTGACTGGCCTTAAATGCCTGTCACTGAAAGGTGTGTAGCAAGGATGTGCTTTGAGGGCAGCCAAATTTAAGGTGACATGATTTCTATATTGTTAACTGTTGTGGCCCAGCAGGTGCCGTTGGAGCTGCCACCAGACTCTGACAGCGAGGGGCCCTATGAGTTGGCTCTGGAGGACCCTGGACAGGGTTCTGACTCTGAGCAGGGTGCAGAGAAGCTGGTTGGCCACCAGGAGGCACCTGAGCCTTGGACCAGTGGGGAGGAGACAAGGGAGAGTGAGCCGGAGGCCAGTAGTGAGTTGTTCCTGGATGCATGCCATCAAAGAGCTACTAGGCGTCAGGAACTGTTGCACAGTTACAGGAGGTAATTGCACTCACCTGGTGTTCATTAGGCTCCTCTCCAGATGATTAAAAGGACTCCTTTTGCACCCGCCCCTCTTTGCAGAAGTC